GGTTTGGGGTGCAAGAGGGGGCTCCAGGCTGGGGGGTGGAGCTGAGGGGTTCAGAGTACGGGAGGGGGCTCTGGGCTGAGGCAGGGGATTGGGGTGTGGGAGGGAGTATGGGCTCCACGCGTCACCTCTGGCTTCTGATCAGCAGAGGGGGAGGGGGTCTCAGGGCTTCAGCGCTGCAGGGCACACCTGCTGGGGCTCGGGGCCTCAACAGGAGCAGGGCTGAAGCCCCAAGACTGGGCAGGCACCTCCCACAAGGCTGAAGGCCCTATCCCCACCATCCTGCTGTGGCTCTGAAGCCTTGAGCCCCAGCAGGCCACACCCTCTGGCAGTGGCGGATTAGCCACTGGGCCGACGGGGCCCATGCCCAGGGACCCCAGCCAACTGTGGGGAGCCCCCAGAAAAAGTCCACCGCCCAGCAGCGGAAGCCCGGAGCCCCGGCTACCGGGCAGGAGGGTGGGGCGGAGAAAGCCCCCATGCTCCCATCCCGCTCCCCAGCAGCAGCAAGGGAAGCTCCAGGGCCCCCAAACCTGTCCCCAACAGAAGCTGCAGGGCAGCAGGGGAAGCCCCCAGCACCCTGACCCCATCCGCGGCAGAAGACTTTTGCTGACTGTGCAGTCATGCTTTATTATTATTAGTTATTTGCACCCATGTGCCAGGTGCTGCCCCCAGGGCCGGCTCCAGGCACCAGCTTCTCAAGCAGGTGCTTGGGGCGGCCGCTCTGGAGAGGGGCGGCAGGTCCAGGTATTCGGCGGCAATTCGGCGGACGGTCCCTCACTCCGCCTGGGAGTGAAGGACCTCCCGCCGAATTGCCGCCGCAGATCGCGATCGCGGCTTTTTTTTTGTTTTTTTTTGGTTTTGGCTGCTTGGGGCGGCCAAAACCCTGGAGCCGGCCCTGGCTGCCCCCAACATAAAGCGAGATACAGACCCTGCCTCAAAGAGCTGATGAGTTTTACTCAAGAAGCTGTGTTGTTCAGTTATACAGTATGTGAGGTACTGTACTGGAAAATGGCAATATTCCCTGCAGTTTTTCAGTGTCCCTAGTAAAGGGATCCTGAACCTTTCACTGCCAAGTCACAGGTCTGAATATATCTCCAATTGGTAGGGACTAGAAGTCAGAATCATCTGATGGCTGTTCAGGGATATACAGTATATGAAAGCAATGGCTGGTTTCATTCCAATTCTTCCTGGCCAATGGGTGTCCATTCAAATATACGTCAAGGCTGATAGTCATATTTGGTTTTTGGATTTGGTCTAATATTCATATCAGACTAGTAATAGCAGCTTCACTGAGACTTTGCCCAAACAAACTATATGAAGCCTAGATCTATTGGAGCTTTGCTGACCTGGGTGGGGGGGAAAACCCTTCTGCAGAGGGGGATTCACACCACCCACTTGCCCCCCACATTCAGACATATTTGAGTTCTGCCTCCTGTCTAGTGGCCTGTGGCATTTCCTGATGGCCTAGTACAACATCCCACAGCAGCTGTCTGGCTTAGAGGTGCACTTGCTCCCACCTTTGTAATTTTGCCCTGCAGGGGAAAAAATGTGACACTGAGATGTTGCAATGTCCCATCATAAAGGAACAAAAAGAGAGATATCTCCCTCCTGCGCCTGAAGTACCGTTGGGTATTTCATTTCTTGCAAACTATTTTAGCAGCTCAGGGGAAACTGAGACTTTTCTGTGGAAATCAGGGCACCTGGCAACCCCGCAGGGAGGGCAGGCAACAAACCTGGCAGGCTTCGCCCTCAGTCAGCTTTTTTTAAATAAGCAATTAAACTGCAGGATGACAACGCGGGAAATTTCACAGCACACATAGGAAAATCATGAACATTTATATTGTTGTTTATACATGGGTGTGCAAGCTCCGTGACAATGAGTAGGTACAGATTATACTGGCTAGTCCCTTTTCCATTTCAAATTTTATTTCATCTGTGCAGCGTCAACAGCTCAGCACTTTATATATGCAAAGGGCTTAAACTTTCCCCACTGCATCATCTTGCATGGTTATAATCAGCTTCTGCCCGTACTTCAATGGGAAATTTATAATAACAATGACACGTACGTATATAGTGCCTTCATCTCAGGATCTCAAAGTGCTTTGTCAGTTTCCTTTCTGCATCAAGCTCTTTGACGGGAGTTCAATGCAAAAGTGAGCTGACTAGGATCGAATAGCCCTCGTCAGCTTCCTTTTGCAAGTCAGTTCTATGGCTAAAGAGCTTTACGAAGACAGGAACTGACAAATCTTCATTTTGTTTTGCATCAAAGGCTTTACACAGTTGGAAAGGGAAACTAAGTTACTTTGCAACCAGCTCCCTTTGAAAAGCAAGTAGAGGGAAACATGACAGATACTCCCCGGTAGATGTGGTGATCTAGGAATCCTTTTTTGCCTATCCCTAAAAATAGTCTTGCCAGGGGCAGGAAAGCAAGAGAATCAGTGGGACCCATGTATTATATAAAGTGAAAGAAAAGCCATTTTGACTTTGGGGACTACAAATCCACTTCATGGGTCTTGTGAGCTGGGTTTGTTCCTGTATGAGAGATTATTATGTCACCTCAGTGGAATGATAGCCCCAGAATTCCCTTCTATTTGTCACATATTTTGTATGTCATAGCTGGTTAGCCTATTATGAAAATCCCTGGTTTTGTAAAGAGCCAAATTTTCAGCCAGCCTCAACATGGTCTTCAACTGTGGGTGACAGATTGCACGGCCTAATGAAAGGCATCCACCCACCTCACACACACAAACCCCACATTTCCTGTTCACCTGACCTGCATATGCAAATACAGGGTTTGCACACACAAAACAAGTGCACACTACTAGTTGCATGCACAAAAGTGGTTGTACAAAATCAAAATCAAAGCCCAGATCTGAAAATCTGGCCCACGGTGACCAAGAATTTTAGCACTGGTCACCTCTTGTTTCGAGAAATGGGTAAAGTGAGTTCATGCAGAAAGCCTGTCACACAGAGAGATGTTTCTGTGTCCTAGCTGTCACAAATACCCTGCACACGAGAATAAAGACAGGCCCAGTCAGCAGAAGGGGACCATATTTTCAAAATCAAAACCGGGGGGGAGGGGGGGGATGTGACTTTTTTGGGGGTTGCCAAACAATCCTTCTAGAGCCAACCCAGATTTGTTCTTTTAAATGTGAACTTTTGTCAGTCCTTCCAGCTTGAGTCAAAAGCGACATATGCATACTTCTCAGAGTGGAAGATTTTCTCCATAATTTAGTGCACTGAGTGAGTTTATCATGAAAAGTTGAACCAGTGGGTTAACATTCACCTGAAGCAAAAAAGCAGCTCTGATAATATCTATACCCATTCACCTTTTCTCTTCACTCCAAACACCATTCATCAGCGTGATGGCTCATTCCATTGAACTACCTGATCCTGGTAAAATAAACACTAGTCTGTGTAGCAGGATGTCTTGAACACACCTTTTGTAGTTATAAAAAAAAAAAAAAGATTGACGACACATAAAACCAGGGCATTTCAGGTGTCCTGAAAGAAGTTCCTAGGACTTTGTATGAAAAAAAAGCAGGACATATGGTCACTTTAGGTCAACCAAATATTTTGCCCATTGTTATACGAAGTATAATCTGTAGTCTGTAAAAAGGTTGAGAATCCCAAAATCCTGTATTTACTGAAAGCTGAAAACAGAGCGGAACCGCTGTAAGAACAACCCTCCCTCCACAGCTTGCCTAGGCAGTGGGAATAAATTTCCCTGTCAAATGAGGATCCAGTTTGAAACCTGACTCTGACATTCATGCTGTTGGCCCTTACTAGAGCTGGGAAGCTGTAATTTGAAGAGAATTTGGTTCTGTCCAGATCAACAGATGCCACCATGGCACAAGCCCAATAAAGGGAGGAACTAGCATGTGAGGAACACTGAGGCATTGCTGTGCTCCATCAGCAAGGAATTCCCCTGGGGGCCCAACAGGATGAGCAAATGCAACGTGCTAGAATAATAAATCTCTTCCCCGCATGTGAATCCTCCCAACATGTTTATGATGTAGAGAAGTAATTGCTATTTGTGATTCCAAGCCCAGAAGGGACCATTGTGTCTGGTCTGACCTCCTGTAAAACACAGGCCATAGGACTTTCCCCAAAATATCCCTAGAGCAGATCTTGTAGAAAAACATCCAATCCTGATTTTAAGATTGTCAGAGAATCCACAACAACCCTTGGTAAATTGTGTCAATGGTTTTACAAATGGGGAAACCGAGGAGAGTTTAAGTGACTTGTCTCGGGTCAGAGGGTGAGTCACTGTCAGAACTGGCCTTAGAACACAGGTGCTCCTGGCTTCCAGTGCTGTGCTCAGACCAGTAGGCCTCACAGCCATTATCATACTCCAAGATCAAAGCCTCTTTGCCCATCTAGGGAGGCCCAGACCCTGTTAACTGGAAGGAGCCTGCTTTGGTGCACCACAGGAAACCAAAGAGTAGATGTCTTGAGATCAGAGGAGTGCTGTAGAGAATTGTCCTCTTTGTTAACACACTCGGTCCTGTAAACAGGATTTGTAAGTCTCATACTGAGCTGAGGACAAACGCCCAGTGATAATGATAATCAGGGGAAAGGAAAGTACAAAATGAGAGTAGTCATTGAAAACATCACTGTTAAAGGTTTGATCCTGAGAGATGCTAAGTGCCTACAAATTCCACTGAAATCAGTGGGTGCTCAGCACCTCAGGGCTTGTTTGTCCGCGTAAGTAATCCACCTCCCCAAGAGGTGGCAGCTAGAATTCTTCCCGTGACCTACTACTGTCTACATTGAAACAGACTCCAAGAAAAAACTGCAGAACTGGATTTAATTTGCAAACTGGACACCATCAAATTAGGCCTGAATAAAGACTGGGGGTGGATGGGTCACTACAAAAACTAATTTCCCCCCTGCTGATACTCACACCTTCGTGTCAACTGTTTGAAATGAGCCACCTTGATTACATTAAAAAGAACAGGCCCCTGTTCATGCTCTCTGTATGTGTGTATATATATCTCCTCTATATATGTTTCACTCTATATGCATCCGAAGAAGTGGGCTGTAGCCCACGAAAGCTTATGCTCTAATAAATTTGTTAGTCTCTAAGGTGCCACAAGTACTCCTGTTCTTTTTGCGGATACAGACTAACACGGCTGCTACTCTGAAACCTTGATAACATTGGCCTCATTAGTATTCACCCCTTCATGTCAACTGTTAGAATAGCCCACTTCCACTTTAATTGAATTGGCTCATTAGCACTGCCCCCCCCCCCACTTGGTAAGGCAACTCCCATCTTTTCATGTGCTGTGTATTTACACCTGTCTCTGTATTTTCCACTCCATGCAGCTAATGAAGTGGGTTTTAGCCCACGAAAGCTTATGCCCAAATAAATTTGTTAATCTCTAAGATGCCACAAGGATGCCTCGTTGTTTTTACGTCGAAGATTAGATCATCTTAATAACGTCACTCTGAGTGACGTAGACATGACCTTCGTTCCCGGCAAGCTGGGATGTAAATCTACATCATTTTAGCCTGCTGTGCACTAAGTCACCATGTGGACCCTGCTATCACATGCTAAAAGTTCTGTAGTGAGCAGTAGCTAGTAGGACTGTTTCAAACAGCAGATGGGAACTTTTAGTGCATGGCAGCAGGGTCCACAAGGTGACTAGGGTATGTCTACACTTAAAACACTACAGCCACTGTAGTGCTTCAGGATAGACACTACCTACACCAATGTGAGGGGGGGAGAATCTCATATTGGTATAGGTAATCTACCTCCCCAAGAGGCAGTAGCTAGGTCGATGGAAGAATTCTTCTGTCGCTATAGTGCTATCTATACAGGGACTTAGGTCAGCTTAATAACACCACTCATGGGTATGAGTTTTTCACACCACTGACCAATGTAGTTAAACTGACTTAATTTTCTAGTGTAGCCCAGGCCTCAGTGTGCAGAAGGTTAGAATGCTGTAGATTTACACTCCCAGCTTGCTGGGCACTGACTCTGCATATAGACAAGCCCTTAGCTTTTAGGGGTTTGGCTTTGTTAGAATGCACAGCCAGGTGTCAAGTGACTGACCCACTTTGCCTGGATGGCAGATTTCTCTCTTTTACTAGCTTGAAAGTCCAGGACAGGAAAGAAGGAAGTGGAGGAAAGCAAGAAGTGGTGGTAAATGCAAATATTTGAAGCACAGCAAAGGCCCAGCATGTAAGGCATTTCTAGCATGTGCCGCACTGCAGCATCTGAGTACATATACCATTTGATCATGACACTTCATTGACTCTGCATGGATCTAGTACTGAAAGCAATTTTTCTTGTCCAGAAGAATGGTTCTACATGTCCCTTTAGTCCCATCGATGCCCACAAGGATCCTCTTTCCAACAGTCAGTCATGAGATGGGGAAGAACCGTGCCATGAAGATGCACTCTGAAAAGCGAGAGCTGGATACACCCAGCTGCCTTTGACGTAAGCAACAATGTAAAAAGAGGAAATTATTTTTGAGCCATGCGTATGCTGTCCAAGCTGTGTGAAACAACACGCTAGCCGTGTTGTAACTACCTGTCTTGCTTACAGATCTTCGCTTAGGCCTCTATCCCTCGGCTTTTGGCTGCACAGTTTTAACTTTGGAGCTAAGCGTGATCCTGTGTAAATCAAGAGGTGCTCAGGTGTACTCAGTGGATGTACACTGGGTGAGAGGAGAATCAAGCCTTATGTTTCTGTATAATATTTAAAGGTGTGTGGGCTACCAAGAGTAGAGTTATGTGGCTCAGTTCTGAAGGGTGTTTGGTCACCCCCAAAAGGTTACCTAAGCTCCCATTGACTTTGATGAAAGCTGATGGTCAAACCCAACTAGAAGAAGTAGTGACAGAATTGAGCTCTTTGTTCAGTTTTATCAAAAGCGTGAAAAAAATCTTTTACTGATAAATAGCAGGCAATTTTAGCTAGGACCTGTAATACTAGTTAGTGTGTTCAGAGCACTGCATAAAATTCTCTCAGCACTCAATGTACTATACTCTGTTGGGGGAAACTGAGGCAGAAAGGTGAATTGATTTGTCCAAGGCCACTCAGCCAACCCAGTGGCAGAGTTAGGAAGAGACCAAAGAGAGCCCTGGCTTCCAGTCCTGGGCTTGGTCCACTGAAGCAGGCTGCCACTCTGCTGAAGATAAAGCACTCCCATCCTTTTTAAACAAATTGAACCAAGTAGTTTGAAAAGTGTGGATTTAAATCACTATAAAAACACCAAATAGTCTGAGTCAGTTTAATTTCACTAAAAGGCAGGTTTTCCCCATTCTTCCCATGCGCTCAGAGAGAGCAAGGAATGGTGATCGAAGAGGAGTTCCAAGAAGCAGGACACCGTTTCTCAAGACAGTAGAGAGAGTCAAAATGTTTATTTAAAAAGGTAGCTCCCCACAGACAAGCAGCAGCCTGGTCTACTGGACAGGGCACTGATCTGCACTCAGGTGAGCCATGTTCTATTCCCAACTCTGCAACAAACCTGTCGTGTGACCTTGGCAGAGTCTTTCACTTTTCCCATGCTTTGTCTATTTAAAGTGTAAGCTCATTGAGACAGTGACTGCCTGTAAATGTGTGTTTCCACAGTACCTAGCACAATAGGGCCCTGATCTCAGTTAGGATCTTTAGGCAGCAGTCAGGGCCGGCTCTGGCTTTTTGGCCGCCCCAAGCAAACAAAAGACGGGGCGGCCAGAACAGCAAAGCAAAAAAAACAAAAAACATGGCCGGAGCGCGGGTGCAGGGGGACCGGCCTTGGGGGGGCGGGGGAGGGAGCGGATGGGAGAGAGAGAGAAGGGGGCGGCCAGGGCTGCAGCAGGGGCGCTGCCACGCGGCCCCTCCTGCTGCGCCGCCTCCTGCCGCCTGCCACGAGGGCTCCGCTCTGGTCGGCGGGGAGGGAAGGAAGAGGACTGCCCTGCAGGGCGCTCTAGTTCTCCGCGCCACCGCCCCCTACAGAGTGGCTGGAGTGGAACAAACAAAAAACAAAACAAAACAAAAACAAACAAACAAAAGCGGCCGTGCCGCCCTAGGATTGGGCAGAATGCCGCCTCCAACAATCTGCCGCCCCAAGCACCAGCTTGCTTAGTTGGTGCCTGGAGCCGGCCCTGGCAGCAGTGCAATATCAATAAGGAATAATCATAATTGCTAAAATTATGGAGATATCCTATCTCCTAGAACTGGAAGGGACCTTGAAAGGTCATCAAGTCCAGCCCCCTGCCTTCACTAGCAGGATCAAGTACTGATTTTGCCCCAGATCCCTAAGTGGCCCCCTCAAGGATTAAACTCACAACCCTGGGTTTAGCAGGCCAATGTGCAAACCACTGAGCTATCCCTCCCCCACCCCCAGTTCTCCATCAATGATTTTTTAAACCTAGAATAATGTAAAGAGGAAAAAGCCTTTGGATGCACGTAAGCCAAGTCATTCAGAATGCCCCAGTCATTTGGAAATTTAGCAGGATTTCTCATCAAACCCGGGGCCTTGCACATCGATAGGTTTCACCTTTACTCAGCCCTGCTTAGGAAGGCATTGCATGCAAATGCAAACCTTCAACTTTTAATACATGCAGCTTTCGAGAGCCTCACTCTATGCGAAAATCAAAGGATCAGATTTTCCTACAGCCCTTCAGATCACTTTATTAATCACCCAGGACCAGGCTCAAATTTCTTTTGAGGCTGAGAATTGCCCACTTAATCACCTCCTGCATCACTCCCACCTAGCTCAGCATCAGAGGGAGAAAGAAATGATTTATCTAGGGACTTACTCTAACAGTGCTTGGGGCTGAGCTAGGAAACGTCACATGAATCATCCTTGCATCGTGTTTAAAAAGAGAAATGCAGAATAGTAATGCTAGCATGACAGTAAAATGCACAAAGCGCTGGTGAGGCTTCCTTCCCATTGATTGGGCCTCCACTTCCTGCTCCTTCTGCGCTCTGTCAGCTGGACAAAGCCGTGTCTATTTAAAGCTACTCCTCAGTGAGCTGTTATCACATGCAGCACCATCAGTTGTTTTCCAGGATTAGGGAGTTGGTTAAAGTCAATGACGTCCAAACAAAAAACCCTTCTCCTCTTCCTCATATGAGTAATCCCATCAGGGTCAGTGGGATTGCTCATGTGAGTAAGGAAGCAGGATGTGGCTTTAAGGGATACATTTTCTCTCTAGTGCCCATCATGAGTAACTCAGCTGGAGGCTGGGGAGCTCCATGGTGGGAAGGAGAGAAGAATCAGGTGATGGAGCCGAGAGGAGGTGTTATGTGGAAGCTACGCTGTCTGTTACCTCTACGGCCCCAGCACACATACCCCTTCCTGGAGAAGGGAAGATTTAGAGAGCTACATAGCAAAAGATCCTCCGCTCCAGCCCCACCCCACCCGACTCCTGGTCCATCCTTATATCTCTGATGTCAGACGCAGAGATATGTTCTCAACAGAACTGGGATATGCATAACATGGGGCCTGTGCAACCTGCCCCTCTTATACAGCAGAAGGCCTTCCACATACAGAGAAGGGACAAGATTTGCACTGCCCTCATATAGAGATGTGCTTTTTCCACCTCTTACTACAATATTAGGGTCCTTTTCTGTGGTGTATAGAAAACTGTGTTAAAACTATAAGCTATGGCTTTAAATGTTCAGGGGGGTTTCCTGGTCCTTGCTTGCAGGCTAGGGAGCTCTGTAGGGAAACATGTAATCAGAGTCAGTCAGTCTGCACAGAGCCAGCGTACAGTAAGGAGGGGAGAGCTGAGCCGCTCTGTTTTAGGGAGCAGCCTGCTTTCTCTCTCTCTGTTTTGGGGTTCTTGTTTGTTATTGTTCTAAATTCTAAAAAAATAAAGCAGTGTTACACTCCAGACCTCCAGCAGAAGTATTTATGTTTTATCTAGCTTCTTTGTGTGTGTGAATGTAACATTCTCTAATATTCATCATCACCAAGGTAAAAAAGCATTGCAAAAAGAAAGCTTGGCTGGAATACATTAGCTCTGGCTACACTACTAGCACATTCATAACCACAATTCACTACTAGGGCAGCTCCATTAGTGAGCAGCAGAAGCTATAATGTAAAGGGGACTCTGGTATTTTTACCACCACATTGCCTAGACCTGCTCTGAGCAGGGTTAGATGGTACTGTGGTAAAAACACTGGTGGCTGGTCTACACCTATGCTCCCACCCACACCAGTGCTAATACAACCATGAGAAATGTCAAGAGAATTGCTAGTTTAGATCATTCCTTCTACAGCATAGATAGGAAGCTGCGGGTATTGCACCTGCCCCACTTTAGCCAGTTCTCACAAATCCAAGTCAACACAGTGCAGGGTCCCATATATGCAAGTCACCCAAAAGCCCCACCTCCCAGTCGTAGTGCTGGGCACTGTGGCATGAGGGCTTGTCCATTGCAAGGACAAGTAATGTGACAAACTATTTAATGCAACGAATGTCCATACAACAGTTTCCTCCCAAAGGTGAAATCTCAGCACCGAGCCTAGGTCACTGGGCTGGGCTCTAAAGATCTCCATCATGGGAAGGGTTGGAGGAATCCTCTCAGACGGCCTCTGGAGCCAGGGCCGGCTCCAGGCACCAGCCCACCAAGCTTGTGCTTGGGGCGGCACCTGGAGGGGGGCGGCGCGGTACTCCGGCCGCCGGGGAGAGCGGGGCCACGGCCAGGCTCGCCGCCCTCCCCCCGGCGCTCTGGCCGCCCTCCCCCCCGGCGCCCT